CCAGGACAGATGCCCTAGAGAATGGCCTGGGAGCCTCCAGGACTCATCCGTGCACTTGTAGCCTCCATGGACTCCCGACCGCCCGGGGCCCGGCGCACGTCCCGTGCGTCTCTGGGCCGGTTTCCTCCCCGTGACTCACCTCCGGGTGATGAAGCCATGGAACCAGGGGGGGGCTGCCCCGCGCTGCAGGAGCCAGTGGGCCTGGGTCTTCTGGAACCAAGCCCGGGTCTCGGCCTGCAGGGACTGGCCGCCTTCCCCAGGCACCTCTTCAGCCTTCTCAGTGTCTGGGCTGGAGGCAGGCCCTGGGGGTTGAGGACAGGCCTGGAACAGGGGAAAGTTCAAGGAGGACGAAGTAGCCGCGATTAGTGGGCTTTTTCCTGACTCCAGGCCAGCTGCCACTTTCTCATCCTCACCCCTGCTCTCTATCCCCGCTGCCTATTTTATGCTGTGATCGCCCAGAAAGTGCTTCTCAAGGCCTAGCGGAACACTCTCCTTCAGCAACACCTGCTTTGGTTTCCAGAGGGTCTCCTTCCCCTTCCCTCCGCCCCCGAGGGCCTCTCATCCAGTAGCTGGGAGCTGACGGATTGTGCATAAACGGATGTGAGACCTTCGAGAAGACCAGGAAGTCATTCCCTGGCCCGTGGGATGAAAGGAGGTGATGCTACTGGCCAACCCAGAGGATGGAAGGAGGGAGGGCTCAGCCTCCTGCAGGAGGGGCTGGGCTGGTCCGCAGGGAGGATTTCCTAATGTCCTGGTGGCTGAGAGGGACTGAGAGAGAGATGCGCCGGGCGGACGGAGGCCACGGCCAGAGACGCGGATGCCTGTTTCCGGGACCCGGTTCCCTGCACCCTGGCCACCTGCGGACTCAGGCCGAGCTTCCCAGGGACAGAGGAACAGTGAGGGGGGAATATAGCGCATGAGCATGACGGAGGTGCTCCCCATCCCCTCTCCCTCCCCCGTCCATGGGTGGCCCCAGGTCACTGGGGGGATGGGAGCCGGTGAGGAAGATGTGTCAGCCTGGCTCCCACTCACCACGGCACGGACAGCGGGGACCCTGGGGCTGGGCTGGGCCTCCTCAGCCTTCGGGGCCCGGAGCCCGGGCCCCTGAGACACGCTCAGGCCGCAGCGGCTCCTGCGGGGCAATTCCACCCTCTGGAAGGTGTTGAAGGCAGCAGCAGGGGCTTCGCGACTTCCTGTTAGCGCAAAGAGGGAAGCTGGGGTTTCTCAGTGAGGGCCCTGCGTGCCTCTGACCAGGGATCTGGAGGACGGACGGGGACAGTCATGGGAGCAGAAATGCAGGCGGGACCACAGGGGGTCTCTGAGGTGGGGGAGGGTAGGGAGACAAGGAGGTGCCCACCGGCCAGGGAGACAGGACTGGGAAGCCAGGGGGCCTCCTGATGGTCCGGAAGTGCCACAGTGCTGGGTGGGGGGTGGCGCATCTCCTCAGGGCACAGCCGTGTCTTTATGGCCCAGGACCGCCTGCCTCCTGGCCCGGGTTCTCCTCTGCACCCGTCCTCTCTAAGAAGCACCCCGTAGACGCTGCTACCTGTGTTCCCCCGGGCTGAGTGGACTGGAGCCCCGGCCAAGGAGAGGGGGTTGTGGGCGCCCTGCCAGCCGGCCCTGCAGGTCCTGGCCTGGGGACAGTAGGGGTGAGGGGGTCTTGATGTCCCTCCCCTCACGGTCCCCGGCCTCGCACTTACCTTGGGGGCATATCTGGGCCAGAGGGGGCTCCATGGGGGCAGCCTGAGAAGGGAGCCCCCGGAGCACGGGATGTGTATGTGTTCCCTGGAGATGTGCACACTCAGCAACTCATCTCCGTCACCCGGCCCCCGACGGCAGGAAATGTCGCCTCACCCACAGCCCTAGCCCTGGCAGGGGACCCACGTCATGGAAAGCCGTAAGACACTTGTCCCTCCCCCGGAAGCCAGGCAGCTGAACCTGGTGGTGGTGTGGCGGTATTTGTGTCATTCTGGGCTTGGGTGTTGGGAAGTCCTTACTGTCGTCTGACCTTGAAACCGCCTGTTTCTTCCTCCACCCCCTCACTCCAGACTGGGACTCCCTTCTCTCTCTCTCTCTCTCTCTCCCTGTCTCTCTCTCAGCTTCTGTTACGAGCAGTGGCAATTGTGGATGTCAACCTCAGCAGGATAAGCTCTAATTAGGTGCCTGGGCTTTGGGCTCCTTGGAGGTTTGTACTCCGGAGTTTGCTCTTAGGACATATGAGTGGAGGGAGGCAGGGCTGCTACGGAAGGATGCGGGTCAGACTTCTGGAAGGACTTTCTGAAGTCATATGCAATCTGCGAGACCGGTGGCGGAGGGGAGGGGCCTGGCTTCACCTTCCAGCAGCTAACGAAGCTGAATTAGGGCCAGACCAGGCCGTCCTGGAGGAGGGAGGAAGACTTTCCTCCAACTCCGCACGTCGTGATTGCCGGCCACATGGTGAGCTGTTGTCTTAAACCCGCGCTGTGCCGACACCTCCTTCCGCACCAGAGGACCAATCCCATTTCTTTCTCATTTGATCCTCAAAGGGACGGGGAATGTTACGTCCATTTTCCAGAAGGGCAAACTGAGGCTCAGAGAAGTGCCGTGGCCAGATGTCTCAGAAGCTGGGATCAGAAACTAGATCTTCTCACCCATTTCGCCGCGGTTTAAGCCAACAGTCCCTGACTAAGTGCCAGGCACTGCTCCTGGGGCCGGGAACCCAGAGGGAAAAAAAGGATCTTGCCTCCAGAGGCCAGGTGGGGCGGACGGGCCTGCCAACAGATTCTTCTGGTGGCGAGAGACTGGCGCGGGCTGGTGCAACGGGTGCCCGGCCGGCCTGGTGCGCGTGTGTGCCGGGGGGGTATCAGAAGAGGAGGAGGAGGAGCTGAGTCGTGGAGGGTGAGTGGGGGGAGGAAGGTGGGCACAGATGTTTCTAGAAGAGGCACGGGTGTGTGCGAATGCGTATAAGAAGGAAACGGCGAGGTGTGCGGGGCGGAGCGGGGGCTGGCCGGGGGCCCCCCCCGCAGCAGTTCGTGCCGCCGGATGAAATGCTGCCCTGTGCCCGGGAAGGAGTTTGGACACCTGGCCTGAAGCTGGAAGAGCTGCTTCGCCAGCAGCTCTGGGCAGGGGCGCTGTCCCCGCCGTCCCCGCTGGCCCGCACGTGCACACACTCCAAGGCCTTCTCCCCTTCCCGAAACGCTATCGCCTTCCCCTCGGGCCCAGCCCCAGGGGTTGGGAGTGAGGCCGAGAGGTGCCCGAACGGCCTCTTCCCCAGACCCCTCACTTTGCTGTGATGACCGGGCGGTGGGGGCGAGCCCCGCACGACCCTGTCAAACGGCAGGGCT